AAATAATATAACAAAAATTTAAATATAGTATAACTGAGTCAAAAAATAATGTAATAAAAATATAAAAATTACTAATTCACCTCGAAATGGAGTAAAGTAAAATATAATTTGTCAGGCCTCGGATCATTTTTTGAAAAAATAAAATGAATCTCGACAGATTGTAACAGTGAAGTAGACTATACAACTCGAGATATCTATTTATTTGGTAGCTTTTGTTTGTATTGATTTACACTACCTTTATAACAAGACAGGCACACTCTCACCTAAACATTTTTTTCCCCAAAGAATGAGATTTGATTGTCATTGTTCGGAGCAAGCAATGAGTTGAAAAGTAAGGTAATAAAACCTTTCTAATACTTTCTTTTGGTGGTTTGCTTTTTTCGGTATTTTGTGAACTTGACGGCTAAGTCGTACAATACTGCTACTAAACTTTGTGAATGGGCGAAGGTTTCACCCAATTGCAAAGGAAAGGATAGGGATAACCAACAGCCGTCAGAGTTGTTGGCTTCATGCTTCATCTCACAGATTAGGGTTTGAACCTCGCTGTTAAGTTTGGAAGGGAAGGAGGGATTACAGGAGTGACGTAATGATATATATATATATATAAATAAAAAAGGCATCCAAGTAATATATAGAAAGGGGGTGACATCCATAGTAATTAATATATCAAGTTTCTTGGTTGACTCAATTTGTCAGCTGGTAAGGTTCGTTCACTGTTTGCTGGAGGGAAATTTGAATGGGGGATTCTCACTACGAGCAGTTGCAATTGGTATAGAGCCCCAATTAATGTCTTATTAATTCCCAAGCGTGGAATGGTTAAACTTCCAAACATGATCAAAAGACCCTCTTCTCTTCTCTTCTCTTCTCTCTAGTAACTTTTCTCACTTCTTCTCTTCTCACAAACTCCCAAACTAGCTTTGCTGACAGACGAAGGTTTCAGAAAATAAATTGACCTACGTACACAAGTTGGTTGTTTTTTGTTTTTTGTTTTTTTAACCCACAAAGAAAGCAAACATGGCTTGAGTCCAGCATCCCTCCAGGCTTCAAAGGGATGTACGTCCTCTCTCTGGTTTATTATTGGAGTACGCCAAGAACATGCTTTTGCTTTCAGTACATGGGATGTCATCATGGTAATACTTGGCCGTCGTGTGTATGGATCAATCTCCAAACATAAGCAATGGTTTACTTGAAATTTGGCAAAGCTCTTTCTTCTAGTTTTACAAACAAAAGGTTGGACCACCACCAGCTATCCAAAAAAAAAGATGCGAAATCCGACTTTGTTTTCCCAGCTGTTTCGTTACATTCTGCTTAATTTTTCATGCAACAGATTAATCAATCAAGACCACGGATCGGATATATGTTCTCACTAGCTTGCTATATATGCTGAAGAGTTCATTTTGGCAATGAAGAGATAATATACCACGTACATGTTTTGTTTTAACTTGCTTGTATGCCATCTAATGTTACATCAACAAACAATTGGTGTTGCTTCAAAGAATGCACAACTAATTGGATTCTACCTTAAAAAAAATATACTAAACCCAACATATATAGTTAGTTAGTTTAAGACTTATTGGTCTTGCAAAAAACATACAATTGCAATAATAAATACGGGCATATATACAGCACAAAATGAGCTAAGGCGAGTAGGCAAAGAAAGAAGAAAAGAAAAGGCCGCGGCATGGATGGTCCAGTACTTGGGTTGAAAGCAAATTAAGATTCTCCAACTCCATAGCCATGGCGGCCGCAAGCAAGATTCTCACGGGGATCATCTCCATCTGCCGTCTGGTCTTCATCAAATGGTTTCACGGGGATCAAAGTCTGCGCTTCTTATCTTTAACCTTCGCCCGTTCTAATTCTTCAGATAAAACTACGCAGAAGAAAAAGTGCTTATATTATTGTACAGTGTGCCTCGCCGACATAAACGGTGATGACAAGTACAGACAGCTGCCCAAATGCAACCATTGCTTCCATGTCGAATGCATCGATAAATGGTTTGCATCATCCCGCCATTTTACATGCCCATTATGCAGAAGTGAAGTCCCTCGTCATCTGCATTCAACTGATCGCAAGTACTACAACTTCTTCTTCTCCCCTAATTTTCTAAGTATTTTCTCAGAACCATTTCTTTCCATTTTGACCAAGATCTTAACGTGATGTTCTGTGAAAACAATATGCGCTTTGTTGCCTAGCTGCAAATACATACATACATACAGATTCGCTTTCTTCTTCGCAGCTTCTTTATCATATATGTATTGATACTTCTTTAGAAATTTAAAAATGATGCTTCTAATTAGTGCGCCCAACCTCCCGTGAAAAAACAAGTACAAATTTCGTCCCATTTTTTGGAAAGGAAAATAGGCCCTTTTTTTTTTTTGGAAAGGAAAATAGACTTGTTTCGCAAATGATCTTCTGTTCGACTTCCTTTTTTAAGCTTATTTATTTTTCTTGTCCTTTTAAGCTTCAAAGATTACTTACAAGTAGAACACAAAAGATAATAGACTAAATAACAATATATAATAGAAAATTCATTAAAAACTCACTTTTTTTTAGTAAAAATTTAGTTTTCCTTTTAATCTATAATCTTTTGTGTTCTACTCGGTTAGTAGTGTTAGAACTTAAAACGACAAGAAAAAGAATTATTAAAATATGATGTTTATGAAAAATATATAGTGAATTAATAGATGTTGAAATAGAAAATAGTATTAAAAAAAGATCTTTTGCGTCGTCACATGGTAAAGCTATGAAATGTGGACAAGAATAGGGGGCAATTCGAACACAAGCATTCAAGCAAATAATCTACACGAACAAAAGTAATTCTATACACGGGATTCCCTCAACCAATACTCAAACTCCAGTATTTCTGCTTTCAGGACATCTACGAGTATTCGAGCTACAAACTTTCTGGTAAAACCTATGGAATATATCTACGAGTCCGTCCATTCTTGAACCACTTTCGATTCCTGTCACATGGAATATTTAGTGCCTCATGGGTGAAATGATAAAGACGCCAATCCGAAACATAGAACCTATTGATTCATTTGGACCCAAAACTACTCTTCTTAACTACTACGGTTGTAAACGAGTCAAGACGAGAGTCGAATTTTGATCTAATCGAATCGAGTAACTATTCAATTTTACCAAGCTCAAATTCGACGAGCTCTCATTGTAAAGGTTGAGTTCGAGGTTGACCGACTCTCAAAGTTGAGGCGATTTGAACTTGAGTTTGAGCTTACTAGAGTTTTAAAAAATAAAAAATAATTATTATTTTATTATTAACAAAATAAATAAAATAGCATTTTTCTTTAACAAATGATAAAATATTAGGAATATATATATGTAATTTCACACACGCACACACGCACACATATAAAATCAAGTGACTCGCGAGTTAACGAGTTGAATTTTTCTACGCTCGAATTCAAGCTGATCAGTTTGAGCTCAACTCGAATTCAATATTGATCAACTTCAAGTTGAGCTTAAACCTAGTCGGCTCACGGCCAGTTTGATTTGTTTGTTGCCTTATTCTTAACTACTTAATATCTTTTCATCATTCGATTAATAGAGCAACCTGTGTTTTTGTTCAAATCATCATTTTCTTGACCACAAAGCCTGTTCCAATATGGGTTGTTGATGGATTGGGTGCATCATGCATGTTAATTGGGCACTTGTTAAGATGAGTTCAAGTTATTCAAAAAATAAAGTTAAATCCAGAAAATATTTTGATGCAGAAGGGGCAATAAATGTGCAAAGTTGTCTAGTTTCCATCTTAATCAGTTTTTGGAGAATTTTTTTTTTGGGTTAAATTTCAAACATCAGTGATCTACAAGAAAGTGTACACGAGACAGAAGTATACCATACCATGCACATACTATTCAATCAACGTACTAACAAAAAACTAGGAAATTCCAACTCGTAGATCAGAGCAAAACTATCCGCTAGGCTGGGATCTGGCTGGCTTCCAACGAGACAGAATGGATCTCAAATCTCTCAATAGCTGATCATACACCCCGAGCAAGGAGGGAAAATGTGACCTCTGAATTCCGGCTCATTCCTGAATCTCCAAATTTGATAGCAGCAAAAGAATTAAAAGCTTCTTCCAAACATCAGCAATTCTCTAAACAAAGTAACTATCCGAATTAAAAGCTTAAAAGGTAATTTGCACAGTTCTTAAATCTGGTGTTAATCTACCCTGTAATATCCTGTAGATCACTCTTTACAGGAACCCACCTCCAAAGTTAGAAATCTGAGCTGGAGTTTAGCAGATTACCAATCGGCTCTGGGCTGCGGATTCAACAACCCAACCAAATTCATCATTGTGGGTTTGGATTAATTCCTTTAGGACACGACGAAATAGTCGATCAATTTCATGAGACAACTGATGGGCTAAGTTCAAGTGTTTGTTTATCTGGAAGTGGAACATCAAAATAGTTTTCTTGAATTCTTCGTTGACATAGAGACTCCCGTTAAAACAGTGGTATTTTGGGCATTACGTTTGACAAGTGTTATGTTTCTTTTGGATTCTAGTAACATTACAGATGCTGTAACTTTTGAAAGTTACAGACATATATAAACTGCCTCAATCCATGGTTGTATTGTTTGGGATGTTAAATACTCGCAGAAGTGTCCAAAATTTAGGGTGGAAATTCCTTATATTAGCGATAAGCAGATTAAGAAGATTGGATAACGATAAACTTAAAACTTAAGAAGATTGAAACCTTCAAAATCGTAGCATGTGTAACATTCCAATTTTCCTTTTCATTTATGTGAACAGACTGGAAGTAAAGCTCTTACCAAGAAGAGTTCTTCAAAGATCAAAAAGTCCATTAAAATTATCACGACTTTATGTCCTCAGCATAATTATTTCAGAGTCCAGTGAATTATTTCAGATTTTAAAAAAAAAATCTTTCTGTGACCAAAAAAGAAAAGCTTTCTTATGTGCTTCGCCGACTTCTTACAATCATTGCGTCAGAAAAAAAAAAAAAAAAAGAAAGAAGAGATTTTCAGAGAATATGAAGCACGAAATTGATTGGATAAATGGCATCCCGGATATGTTGGAAATATCTGCAGGGGTTTGTTGGGCATTTATTGATGAGGGTCCTGGGGAGGATATATGCATAGGAATATGCATACAGAATTAAAGTAACTCTCTGTTTCCACCTTCCAGCTCTAGAAACATGTATTTATACTGCTTAGTTTCATTAAATGGCTCAGCATTGTGCAGTGAAAGAAGATACTCGATATATGATGATGTATATGTGTCTCAGCATGTGGTTTGGTTGGTCCATCACCTTCAACATTCAACCTGCTATGCAGAGTCCAGAGAGTCCAGACAATAACCTTAATCAATGCCGTATTTAAAATACTACTACTCTACTACCATCTGTTTCAGACACTAAAAGTGTGGAATCTGGATTTGGCCCTCTTCAGTTTAATTTATAGGTTCAGTTTACTCTCTGTACTCCACCCTCTTCAACCTGCAAGAAGCCATTTAACCATAAATCTATTAGGGAAGTAGTTGAAGAGGGTTGTTGAGTAACAATGCAACCATTTGGCCCAACCTATGCAACCAGTTAGGATCAGGCATCGATTAACCAGTCGAATAGTCCATGACTCCTGTAACATGAAGTTTTTATTTCTTATTAATAACTCGTTCAATTTTTAGCGTATATAAGACTAATTCTCAAATTAATGACAAAAAATTCATTTTAATTTGTAGGTTTAATGAACTACTCTGATTGACAACCTTAACCCTCACACTTCAATTTGATTTGAGCAGAAACATGAAGCAGTTGGAGTAAAGTTGACAGCACAAATTAAGAAAGCTTAAAGTGGTTGTTATCCTGAATAATCAAACATTAAGAAGAAAGTGGCCAAAACATAGTCCGACAAAAGGTTTACATACGGCTAAAGGGCCAAAATACACTATATTATATGACTAGGCTTTCTTGGAGCCAACAGCCCTCTCTGGGACTAATACAATAATACATTTCATCAAAGCATATATGGAATATTTCACTAGCTTAAGTAATTTGACCTAAAAGGGCCTTCTTGAGAAATAATTCTGGATAACTAACACCAATGTTTTTAAACCCGGACCAGGGAATGAATCGAAAAACTTTTCAGTTCACGGTTCGATCGGTTCAATCGATTCGACTCCGATTCAAAGATTTAATAATTTTTTAATTCATTTTAGTATTAAACATTTTGAATAAAACTAAATTATTTATTTTAAAAAATAAATACTTAATAAAATCGGTTGAACCTCCAGATTTTTCCGGTTCAATCGGTTCTTGACAGATTTTGATCGGTTCAATTAATTCTTTGGATGTTTAATTGAATCGGATCAGAGGCATGACCGATTCGTGATTCAATCGGTCAAACCGGTTGGTCGGATCTGGTTTTCAAAACATTGACTAACACATATGCATGTGTGTTCTAATTAAAAAGAGAGAGACCAATTGCTTGGAGACCCCAAAGGTCGGAAGCCATGCTTCAGGGCAGCTTGCCAGACTTCTTCAACGTTCAACATGTTCTCTCCACATTCATGCTCAGTCCATCCTTCTAATGCGTGCACTATGCCAGCTGCACGCACTGCACTTAGTGCCCTTCTTGGCAGCCAATTCTGTGCGGTAATGCATACATACAACAAAACCAAGTTTATTAATTCTATCATACAAAACCACAAAGACTAATTAAAAATCAAATCGAGTGTGAATTTTAGATGGATGGATTAATTCACAGAATGTTGTTAACATAAAGAAATTTTGCTCAATATTGGTTTGATTAATTAGCGACTATTTGGGGCGTGCTAATCGCGTGCGTCACAAATTATATTGGTGATCATTGAAAGTAAAAAAGAAAAAAAAAATCTAGTTATTGGTGCGTTTTGTGAAACAAGCAAAAATACTTCGATTATTTATTTGTCTAGGCATGCCTGTTTGATCCTAGAATTATATCTTTTTTCTATACATAATGCTTGAGCAATGGATTTGATGTTTAAAAAAATTTGCCATTATTTGTTATTCCAGTCTTATCCTTACATGAAAGAATAACAAACAACTACGTCCTGCTCTACATTTTCATGATGTTTATATAACTGCAACTGCTATACTTATTTACTATTACTACTATGATTTTCCCTAAAATATGCACGCACGCGCGCACACGCACACACACGTAGGGTGTGACTGTCTCACCCCCTAGTAAATAGTTAAATGCGAGTAAAAGAAGTTAGCAACCTCGCAAGAGTCAAGGTTTTGGAGGGAGGCGGGAGCCAGCATTGCGGGGGTATGCAGATAGGAGCAGTCGCTGCGTACTTTCTTCGGAGGAAAAGTCGAGAAAGGAATAAATAATGCCCCTTTTGGTGCATTCAGCTGCTGCTTTTCAGTCAATCCATCTCCAACCAACCAAGTCTAACACCACATTCAATTCATATGTTGTTGCCATCAATTAATAATGCAAGGACTTCGGTTACAAACATATATCGTACAAAACATGCCTACCTTGTAAGCCGCCACGCTCTTGGACAGTACTACCAGGTTGCTTTGGGAAGCCACGCTTTGCTTAAGCTTCTCAAACTCATATTGGGATGAAATGTTTACCTGAAATTACGAATTTTTTTAGAAAGATATCCAAATGTTAGAGGTCACAAATATCTCTTAAAATGCAAATGTGAAGCCTAAAATCTTTATACTAGGATCTTGATGCAGGTCACATCCATAACATTTGTCCATGAATTCGTACATATGTACACTAATTTTTTTTTTTTAAGTGTAAGCGGAAGATTTTGAATTCAGCATCTTTTATTTACGCACGCACACACACACACACACACACTCTCTCTCTCGAAACCAACCAACTCATATCTCCCCCAATATATGTACAAAATCTTGCTTTGCAGAAATAAAATATTGCAATTTCTAAGGAAAAATTTGAACGTTTTTCATAAATATATTTTTTAATGATCTTTTTACTTTACATACATCAAATTATTATAACACACTTTTCTATAAAATCTCTAAAAATAGCAATCCAAACAGGCCTTAAAATAGGTTTCTTCTGCTGTCCCTTGTGTGGTGATCTTATAAGATTTTCTTGCCTAAGCCTAAATGTAGATGATTACTTTTTCTTCATTTCCAAAGCCAACGTTTTTTTTTTTTTTTTTGGTAGCTAGTTATATAATTGCATTTAGGTGGCCAATCTATGAAGTAAACGATGATCTTATGCAACTATAGAGTAATATGCCAACTTACACTAAGACACTAGTTGCTCCTTTCCTTGATCTATTTACTCATCTTGGAAGAGACATGACGAAACAAACGAATAAATAAATAAAGAGAGGGACATCAGATAAGGGCGGCCATATATGATAATCATGTACTGGTACAAGTAAAAGGCTAAAACAACAAACCTGAATACCCCTTTCGCACAAAGCCAACGCAACAGAACGAGCAACTTTGGTGAGGTTGCCAACAAGGAGGACTTCAGTGGTTCCCTTAGGAATGCTGTTAAGGACGGTGGCAACCGCCAAGCTACTTCCATCCACCACCCTCAATTTCAGCTTAGGGTACCTTCGCATGAAAAATTCTCCATTTTTGTTCAGTTCCTTCCGCTGCAAATTGTAAATTCTCCATATATTTTTAACTTGCAAATAATATATATATATATGTATATATGAGATCCCCTCACACCAAAAAAAAATAATAATAATGATCTATGGGTTCTTTTTGATAGCATTGCGAGGAATTATTGACTTTTGCCCTTAAACTTGCCTGGTTAAGTAGGCCGAGACTCAACACCTTGGTGCCTTTTGCTTCAGCATCTAGTATGGCCTTCTCAATCAAGCCATTAATTGCTCGGGATCGCCATTTCTTCAAGTACTATTTAATAAAAATTAAATTAAATTGATATAGGCAAACAAATCCCACAAATAAACCATCTCATTTCAACTAGTTAAGTTGATCTTACCTGCACATTGTACCTTGGTATTGCCCAAGACTGCAACTTGAGCTTTTCTAACTTGTTCCTCTCTAAGATAAAGGTACGGCCGTAGATGGAATTAATAATCGCGGACCAAAGTGTAACTGGCCACATCAACAAAATGTACCATGTGGAACCCTCGGGTTTGGAGGCAACAGAAGCAAATCCCAGACGAATATGGTATATGGATTGTGGGGTTGTTAGGTGGGTCAAATGTACCACGTCTGGGGCATCTTCTTCTCTTTGCAATGAAGTTTCGTGCAGCGAATCGGTGGATTTGTCCATGGTACCATAGATATAGTCGTAGAAGGGCATGAATAAAGAGTAATTTGTTCGGAATTGAGTGTGATGCAGAGAATGATACCTGTTGTAACACAGGTACTTCAACAGTGATTAAGCAAATAGAAAGTGAAAATCAATCACAAGATCTGATAGAATTAACGGTAAAATCTTGTTAAGTTTCACGTAATTCTAATTTCTTTGATTTTAGTAAAAAACAAAACTGGTGGCACCAAACATCTAACACATTATGTACTCGCAAATCTCTTCTTATCATTGCCATGTTGCATAGAAATTTCGAGTGTGTTTGAATAGTAGATTATTTCGGATAATTTTTTTTTTGAAAAAAAAAATACCGTAACAGTTTTTTAAGAGATCACTTACAAGTGTGTATCCAACAAAACCAGGGATTGGATTTGATTGAATTTGGAGGTCACTTACGAGGGTGTATACATTAGATACTTGAGAGGTGGAAAGATGGAGAAGAGTCTTTTGGGAATTAGCTCAAAGTTGCAGTGTCCCATGTTGTTCATTAGATCAATGTATGTGATGTAGCCGAACATTGACGCAAGCGATGCAGTTCCAGTATACCATGTTGCCAATATTGGAATTGCAAACAGCAAAAAATACGCTATGTGCTCTCCAAAGGGATGAATCACGGCTGCAGACCACCACCACAACCAAAAATTTTTTTTTTTTCAAAAGATTAATAGAACCCTATTTCTCTTTTTATTCATTAATATCTGCAAGAAAAGAAATCAACTATTTCCACAAAAAAAAAAAGAAAAGAATTGATGAAAATACTTTTTGTTTTTTGGATAGTGTGTTCTTACATGTTATGGGCTCAGTGACGATGGAGGAATGATGGTGGGAATGGTAACGAGAGTAGAGAAAATGGTGGTGCAGTGCTCTGTGAAGCCAATAATAGAGAAATTCCACAGGACCACTATGAAGCAGAGAGGTCAAGATCACACCATCCGTCCTCCACAACGGCAGCCGAGAAGCATTAGACAACAAATTGTTGAAGATGTAGAATAGGATTCCATTTAATATTATTTGGTCATCCCTGAGAGGAAAAAGCAGAAAAACAAATAAGTACCAACTTTACGTGAGTATAATAATATGATTCCTAATACATCGAAATTCATATCTTGTGCATAAAATAAAATCTTTAGGTTTATTTATTTTAATTCATAGACTATTAACCATGCTTGTGATCCTGAAACCTATAGAACTAATTAAAAATTTCCTACTCCCAAATGCAAGGGGTGGATATTGATATAAAAGTACATATTCCAGGAATCTGATCTTGAAGATATGCAAATCTGAGGTATGTTTTTCAGAAACAAGTCACAGTTAACAAGGGTTTTAAGCATTTTAAATAGCAGCTTGTGTTTTCCTAGGATTAATCTACCAATCATTCACACGTGCATGGCCATCATAGAGATCGTCACCAAGTTACAGGCAACTTCCCCGTTGGAACCCAAGAACCCGCCCACTCCTCGTCACGCCTTTCTCACCCCCAACTACCAAGTATAGAATTAGAACTCTGAACTTGATGAAAAATCACACGAGATCTTCGGCGCTACTTTTTCGGTGGTAATTCAGTGCCACCTTTATATTTATGCAAAATATCCTGTTTATTTAATTTGTCATGTGCTGTTTATTTAAATTTCTTTTACTATCATGTGATGAGTGAAATTGACACTAAATTTGACACCGAATAGTGGCATGGAGGATCCCACTTGGCGGGAAACAACCTTTTCCTGTCCATTAGAAAGAACGCAGTGGTTTCTTGGAATCATATTTCCCCATATATATTTTTTTTCTCTTTTCGATCTTAACAACGAATGAAAAAAACAAAGGTATTTGTAATTAGGAGATCAGAAAAGATTGAGATAGTCATTAAGTAACAGTAGAACGGACCAATTGCTTTCTCTGTCAACTTGTTCAAATTCAATGGTCTTGTCAACAATCCGGTTCTTGCCATTAGCTGTTCGGTGACGAGAAATGCTAATCCAGATTTGATCGTGAAGCATCCTCCACAAAAGAAAGGGGAGTATAAGAAGGTTTGTGAGGTCTCTCTCGCTTTCGCCTTTTGTAGCGTTTGAATAAATGCTATGAGCCACCCATGGTGCCAGTACCACGTACTTCATATCAACCAAAACAACAACAGTTATGCAGCCAGAACAAAGTAGAGTAGTATGAAAAATCTAAGTCCATAGTTTTACACGCTGTTGAAGCTTAGATCTATATGAGATTTAGAGATTTCCATCAATCCACAGCTAAAAAGTCATCATGCATCGAAATGGAATAAGCAAAAGAACAAGAACTTGGAAAAAAAAAAAAAAAACTATTCACAGTTGAGAAAGATGAGAATGAACATTTTCATGTTGTGGAAGGAGAAAAGAAGCACCTTGAAACGCCCAAGAGGCGTCCATGGCCAGTCAGTGAGGAGACCTGGTGTTGTAGCCATTTTCTTTGCTTCTTACTCTTTGTGTGAGGGATGATTACAAGCTCTTTTCTGGGCCTTAAATAGGGGTCTCGCATTGGAGACGACGGCATACATCAATGTTCGAAATGTTCTTTATCTTTAAAGTAAATGGAATTTTAAACATCATTTGTGGAAGTGTTGGCATTTGTCGCAGCCATCAAATGTGGGCAACACTAATCACGTGGGAGTGGAACACTCCAAGACTCAGTTATGAGTTCAACTGTGACACTAGTAATGATTTTGAAGGACTAATTCCACTGTAAACCTCTGAGCTTGTATTATTTTTTCATTATGTTCCTTAAATTTCAATTTTGGACATTTAACGTTTTAAACTTTTAGTTATGGATGGATACTTTGCAACCTAAACTCTTAAGTTCGTCCAATTTAAGTCCAATCAATGACTACTTTGTGAAAATTAATGACAATGCACCCGTTTTGTTCTAACTGCAATCTTTTCACTTTTTTTTTTTACCACTTTTAGTACGTTATTATTGATTTAAAAGGTCTCAATTACTAATATTATTAGCAAAATTAACGAGATAAAAGATGACACAAACTAATGAGAATGCACTATTTTATTTTTGTTATGATACCTTGGTACATTTTGACTACTACTTTTGACACATTATCATTGTCTATACCCTTAATTTTGCTAAAGTTGATATTAATTAGATTTAAATACGATAAATTTGAAAATGTAGGATGCAAAGTGTTCAAAATTAAGAATTTACGGTGCAAAATTGAAAAAGTGATATAAGTTCGGGAATACACGAAATGGAGTTTATCCGATTTTGAAGGCCAATCTCTTGTTGGAATTGATCTCATTCCTAAAATAAACTCGCTTGACTCTTAGCCAAAGCACATTCAACTACACGACGAAAGAAGACCTTTTACTTTTACCCTATGTACTTCATTGGTGTAGAACAGCTCGAACATAATCTGCCTCCTGTTTATTCTATCCATATATACCGACCCCATCCCAAAAAAAAGTACCCTTAATATAATGAAGGGAATTCGCTTTCCAAGTTTCAACCTTGTTAAACCAGTCATAATTTTACACTTATCAGCCAAATGCTAGTATAAGAAGACTCACAAAGCCTAGAATTTGTGGGCCAAGGCTGATTTTGCAAGTTTTGAGGTCCTGCCAAAACGGTTAGATATTTGATGCCGACCTTGCGTACCAGGTTTATATTTATGGACAAATGTTTTTTCTGAGCAGAGCCGAAAGACAATTTCAATACGTAATGGAGGCGGAATTGCTTTTGCCTTTTGCTTTCTTCGGAGTTGGCACAAATTCAAAAACTAGCCTGCCCGAAATTAAACTACTACAGTACTTATTATGTACGTCGGGTAATCGAAACTCGACAGAAGACGACAGCACATTATTATTGTTTTCTGGAACTGCAAAATGTGACGGTTTCACAGGAGGCGACGAATTTGGAGCTGAATTGAGTTGGGCAGTGGATTGGACATGTCACTTGCATTTATTAGGGAAAATTTCAGACGCCTCCTTTGAGGTGAGGTTTTTGACAGTTTCACTCGCCTTTTTTTTAGGTTTTCAAAACGTTAGACACCTCCTTTAGTGATGACCAGTGAAACTGTCAAAATATTAAAAACTTCACGAGAGGTTTTTGAAAATATCCCTAATTATTATTAGCTATGGCCTGTGGATTTAATAGTTAAAATGTATACCGCAAATTAGAATTGAGGTATGAATTTTAGGATACAAAATAGAATCAGTCTTTTTTCTTTTTGGTTACTCCTTCCTTACCAAGCTGGCCTAGACTTAATGCCTCTGTTTTTTAACTCGGACCGGATCGACCGGTTCAACCGATCAAATCGAAAATCAGCAAGTTGGCCGGTCCGAGTTAATCCTAAAAATCGGAAAATCAAAAATTCGGTCAAATCAGGTCAAATTCCGGGTTTGATCAGGTTTTGACCCGGTTTGACCGGAAAAATGAACCCGGTCTCTTTATTTTTTTTTTTATTTTTTTTTTTACTTTTTTTTGAAAGGGCAGAATATTTTTAATATGATGTTTTGATCCTTAAGTTATTAAAAATTATTAAGATACCTCAAATATTTCATACTTTATAAATGTTGTCTTAAAGTTTGGTGTTATTTTTCAATTAAATCCATAATTTTAATTTTAAACTTGTTAATGCTTATTAAATAATATAAATTGCTACTTGATTGCTCTAATTTATTTGTATTTTCTTATTAAATATATTTGAAACATCAAATATATATGAATATACCTTTATTAATATTAATATGTTATTAAGTATTTTACATATAATATTTTAATTTTTAAATAAATTTTATTTATGACGTCATCCGGTTCAACCCCTATCGAACCCGATTGAATCCATTGACCCTTGACCCCTGAGTTCGACCGAATCGATATTCGGTCCGGTTCTAAAAACATAGCTTAATGCACTACCAATGGTTAATTTGAGCATATAATGTTTATACTCTCACATGTACTTCTATACATGAGTAGAAAATATACAATAATGTTAGGTCACAAAGAAACACCATCGTCATTATATTTTTATTTAAGCGGTCGCATCGGTGTTGTTGAAAGTTGAAACAGAGTATTTGAAGATTTCTTCACATTCATACATAATATTCATTCATCCCACCCACTGGCCAAGGCAACGGTTTCAACTTGATATTTACTGAGTTCCCAATTAGAAGAAAAAGAAAGAATTATTACATATAAATGGAAAAATAGTAGTGATGGAAACTGGGGAGTGAAAACCCTCGTCACCTGTAATCCTTCTTTTTGCTTGCAATAAACACAGGACCTACTGCATATATACTAGAATAGATAAAAATCAAGGCAGAAAGTTGCGAAGTCTCCTACTTTGATTTTAACATGAATCGCCAAAAAGACCATGACCCACGTGACCGAGAACTGACTACAACAATTTCTTGTTTGGACAAGGTAACTCTTCTACTCATTCAACATTTAAGAGTAATTCAGAAACAAAATTTCCTCATTTGGCATACAATAATGGCAGCAGCACAACTGATTTCAGTTTGCAGTTGGGGAATTAATTGGTGACCAATACTACATGTATTCGACTTCAGTGAATGATTTTAAGTAGGCCACTGGAAGGCCCAGTGGTCGTCTTGGTGGTGTGTGGAGGGAGGTCAGGTTCAGCCCTTGCCTTCCATAAAAAATTTTCACAATATGTGATGGTTTTTATTGGCCATCTTCGATGGAGTTTTTGCTCACATCGAGTCCTCTTCCCCTTCCCCCTAGACTAGATTATCGGAATCATATCGTTGCAACAAAAAAAAAATGATTTTGAGTAGTCATCCATCACATTTTTTATGTCACGATAAAATGTCAAACGTCACAATCAACTTTGTACATAGTTTAAGAAAAATAAATTTTGATTAAGATACATAAGCTACTAATAAATGTCTTTTCATTATTGCCCTTTAGTTATACTTTAAAATTTTGTAAGTTGAATTTGAAATACAACTATCTAAAAAACAAAGATAGTTTGTAGCATGAATAATTAAGAGAATATAACTTAAATGCTTTATCTTGGGACTTGTATTAAGGGTATAATGAAAAGGTTGGATTATATTTATTTCTATTTTAAATCATGACAAGTATTTTGGGACAAACCAAAATAATAACCATGACATTAAAATGGGACTGAGGGAGTACTTTTTTTTTGAGATAAAAAGCAAATTTCATTCATCAGAAATCGTCCCGCACGATTTGATTTACATAATTATCCTAATAACAGATGAAGCATGCACTAGAAATACAAGAAATTTTCAAGTTGTTTTCTAACAAAACAAATCGCTGCAATTCCCTTCTATACATGTTGCAATCGCCAGATTTACTAATCAATTATTTTAAACTCCAACAATGATGATGATATCTATCAAGATGGACCCAAGACTCAAAAAAATTCTAGATCTAACAATTAGATTTGAAATAAATTCGAATCTAACAACAAAAACAAAAGAAGAAAAAAAAAAGAAATTTATCACTAAAAACCCCTAAGAAATAGAAATTTCTCATTAGGAATCCTTATAAGAATCAGAGAACTCTCATTAAGAAAATTTAGGAGAGAAACTTCACAAAAAAAAAAAAAAGAAATCTATGGGAAGGAGACCATGGTAAATTGACTTACGAAGAGGATGGCCTTTTGAAAAGAGGAGAAAAGGAGGAGAGAATGATCTAGTTCTATCTCCGAGCTCTGTGCTTGTTAATGATTTTAAGTACTTGCTTTTAGAAATAGCTGTGGATTGTTTCTAAATGTTGACAATGTTGACCTCTAATAACATGTGTGATCAATTGATAATGAAAAATTGATTCAGATCACTAGTTGGTATGACATAATTAACTTGATATAGGTTTTTTTTTTTTTTTTTACGTCCATTGCCAAAAAAGTCTTGAGCTATAATATATCCATCCGGCAGTTTATTGAAGTCTAATAAATTGACATGCCAAAAATTTCTTCAGTGTGTCCAACATATCATGTAGGTAATCTTAAAGCTCTTCAATGCACTTAACTGAAATTGGTCAAGTTTTGAGAATCATATAGTGTCGCATGTTTTGGCAAAGTTTGGCATCCTTCAACACACGGAAACTTTTGCTATTAATGCTTTTTCTGCTACTGGAAAGGTGAAAACCTGATCTCCTCTCTCACACTTTTCCTCGAGGCCGGGGAAATGCATCCACCGCCGGCCCGCTCCTAGCTAGCTGCCTTATTTACTGACGACGGTAAAGAATTTACCCCAGGATAAGGTCAAATTTGTACCAACCTCTTGAATTACAATCTTCTAATTAGTTTTCCTTCTTGTCTCCGGATTTTGCAGGGGGAGTTTAGAAACTGGACTTACTGCATATTTTTAGTCCAGTGCTTGGACTATAGTCTATTGGATCAATTTAGTTTCTCAAATTACCTTAAAGCTGCAGTTTCTTAGGTAAATACTTCATGTATTTGACTCAATGTGGGCAGTTGACAAAATTTTTTTTATTCTGATGGGAATAAATAG